CCTACCGAAAACAGGAATCACGAAGGTGTTATAAAAGGTTGCAACCAAGTGGACCTGCCTCAGGTCTTTGGGTTTCCCGAGCCCGAGCAACTCAACCTCTGGCCTTGAAGAAGCAAAAAAAAGACCTTATTGCTTGTGACTGGGGCCCCCACTTTTGTTCCAGGGGCAGTGGACCCAGCTGCACAGGACAGATGGGATATAGAGGTCTCTTTCTCCATTTCATGCCTTTGCTAGGGTTGGCACTCCTCAAACCCCATGATCCCTCTGCCTCTGGGAAAAATGCCTGTGGCTGTCAGAGTCTTGCAATGCCTCATGGGACTCGTAGTACCACCACAGCTGGAGTAACGAGGTTGCCTACCCCTGCACTGCATCCTATTAAATAAATCCTCTTCAGGTCCTGATGTTGGATGAGAAGATCTGGCTTACAATCGGCATTCCAGTTCATCCCAAAGGTGGTCAGTAGGGATGAGGTCGGGGCTCTGTGCAGGACACTCGGGATACTGGGAATTTGGGGCCACTTGTGAGGTCAGATGCTGATGTTGGATGAGAAGACCTGACTTGCCATCAGGGTTCCAGTACATCCCAAAGGTGTTCAGTAGGGTTGAGGTCAAACAAGGCTGGAAGAGGACAATTGTCTACAATGTCTTTGTATGATGGAGGATCACCAGAACCTTCACTGGAGACCCCTGAACTCCCATCATTTGGAAGGGTTCCAGTTCATCCCAAAGGTGTTCAGTAGGGTTGGGATCAGGGCTCTGTGCAGGACGCTCGGAATACTGGGAATTTGTGGCCACTTGTGTGGTGAGACTGATGTTGGATGAGAAGACCTGACTTGCCTTCAGTGTTCGAGTTCATCCCCAAGGCGTTCAGTAGGTTGAGGTCAGGACTCTGTGCAGGACACTCTTGTTCCTCCACATTGAGCTTCCTTCCTCAGCTCTATAATGAGGGGCAACTGTCTTCACCAGCTCTGCCGTACTAGTAGTACATCCCGTGTACAAGAGCATACGCTCTGGTCCATGAAGGTCTGTTATACATGGTGGGGCTCCAAACCATTCCTGGGATCCCCGGCTCAAAATGCCTCTTTTCCTCCCGACCCGGACAGAATTTATTTCGGTCTCCGTGACCCTGTTGCAGATGTTTTCCTCACTTCCTGTCTGGTGAAACCACCGTCGCTAGAAGAGTGAGGGGAGATCTCTCTTATGGATCCCCCCCCCCCGATGGAAAAAAAAAAGGGACAGAGGGTCTAATCCCCAATCCCCCCCACTCCATAATAAAGTGCAGACTGCTGGACATTCACTTTAACTATTGCAACGGAAAATTGTATACTTGCCTATCGGTAATTTTCCTTTCCTGCCGCCAATACATGTCAGCATACAATGGGCGGAGCCATAACCCTGTATGCTGCCACGGATTGGCGTCAGGAAACCTCCGTACCACGGCGGCAGATACTCTGTATTGTCAGCGCTCATAGGTGTAGGTGTGACCCGTCTAGGGCGGAATCCCCGATGAGTGTGAAGAGCAGCAGACGGATTTTAAAGATAAGATGATTTTTTTTCCCTTAATTTTGGGGTTATTTTTTAGAATTGTTGGTGCTATAAAAATAAGGACTTTGTAATCCCGACATTTGTAAACATTTCAATAAAACGAATGATTTCATGATGAAACCTAAATACAACGATGAGTAGACTGGACGTTCCTCTGACTCGCGTTTCTTCTCCGAAGGTTCTTCCTGGTTTTCCAGTTGTAGATTTTGGGGCTTGTGGAAGAGTTTATACCAGTGGTGGCGAACCTTGGCACTCCAGCTGTGCCAAAACTACAAATCCCAACATGCATCTGCCTCTGGGAGTTATGTCTGTGGCTGTCAGAGCCTCGCAATGCCTCGTGGGACTTGTAGTTCCAAAACAGCCGGAGTGCCGAGGTTCGCCACCACTGGTTTATACAATGTCATTGGTGGGATTGTGTGATGACGAGTCTGGATGTGGTGGAGGAAAGACTTGTTACAATAGATACAGGGATTGACTGTTATACATTTCATGGTGTACAATGACCCCCAAATTCATGTCCCAGGGTGACCGGAGCGGTGTCGCAGCACATCCAACTGTACCGCTGTCAGGAACCGGATCTGAACCCGGGGCCTCTGCTGTAGCTGGCGGTGGTTCTACCTGCTGAGCCACCTTAGAACCTGGGATAGCTCCTTGCCTGCTCTCCTGTGTGATCCTCAGGTAACCCTACTTCCTGCTGAACTCTGAACTCCTTGCTCCTCCCTTGAACTTCCTATTTAAGCCACGCCTCTGCACTTCCTGTTTGCCAGATTATTGTGCTCCTGCCAATATCTTGCTTCCTGCTCCCTCTGTGATACAACCCGCTTATACTGCTACCCGTGTGCCGACCTCTGGCTGCTGATTCACCGACTACTCTCATCATCTTCTGCTACATACCTGATACCTTTGGCTCCTGACCTCGGCTTGTTCCCTGATTACGCTTCTGCCTGCTCCTCCACCACTACCGTCTGCTTGTGTACCGAACCCGGCCTGTTATACCACGAATGTGCCCGCTGCTTCAGCTACTGGACTCTGAGCCTGATCCCGGATCGTGACAACCGGTTTATGGAATACAGACACTTTGTTTCAAGTCGTATCTTACTATATTTAATAGAAAAAGTACCATGTGTGAGGTCAGGTACTGATGTTGGGTGAGAAGACCTGGGCTCACATTCCAATTTATCCCAAAGGTGATCAGTAGGGATGAGGTCGGGGCTCTGTACAGGACACCCGGGTCCCTCCACCACACTGGTCACACCATGTCTGTATGGAGCTGGCTGTGTACACAGGGGACAGTCATGGGGGGGACAGAAAAGGGTCTTCACCAA